TTCAATTCTTCATCAGTTGGAAGATTGGGAGGTTCAAAATTCGAGCATTTTTCATTAATTCTTTGAGTGATTGAGGAATTTTACACTTAATTTCAGGTTTAAGCCCATTGCAAATGTCCATTACGAGATTTGCATTATGTAGGATATTATAGTATGGTGGATAACTAGTCAGAACTTCTAACATAATCATGCCAAAAGAATAAATATCAGATGCTTGAGTGTATTCTCCTCTACTCAAAGTCTCAGGCGCCATATATGAAATCACACCATAAATATTTCTGAATCATTTTCTGTAACTGGTTTGCACAGCCCAAAATCAGTAACATAAAGTCAAAGATTGATTGACTATATTATCAGAATGAAAAGCTTTATGCATTAATCCCATTTCATGGCTATTTGAAAGTCCCTTTACAATAGTTGATAAAAGAGAACATTTATTGTTCCAAGTTAATTCTTCAAACTTGTTATTCGGCAGTTTTCTAAGACTACCATAATCTGCATAATTCATAACTATCATATATTCGTTTTTTGTTGGATTTTTAGTGATGCCATATATTGCAATTCCATTTTTTCCTCGAAATTTAAGTTTATTTTTAATCTAAATATTTATTAGCATAAATAAATGTTATTATTATAATAAATATTTGCCTCTTGCAAAAATTCATTTTGTTTGTTGAATTATAACTTTTTAGGCAAACTTCTTGTTCTTCAGACCTGTCCCAATTTTCTAATTTAGAATCCCAAGAGATAATAGGTCCATCAGCCATTTTGCTTTGTATACTGTACCAAAACCCCTTCAGCAAGGTATGTGACATTCCAAGCCTGTCAAATGGAATCCATTCAATAATTTTGAGAAATTTATTTGCTTTTAGTTGCATTTGTTGAATAAACTCATCAATTTCTCTTTCTTCACTTGTCCATTTATCAAATTCATTTTGAAACCGTTTATCATTACATAGATGGCACCAAATTCTTCCAATATTATCTTGATGACATTCACTACACTTTCCACTAAAAATATTATTGACAATCGATCAGAGAATGTTATATGATTTTGAAATATTGATTTAATAATTATGAACCTAAATACTCACGGACTGTAATGTAATATAATTCATATTGATTAGTTTGTAATTGATTAGGGAATTGTTATATGAAATTGAAACTTTGATTTCAATAATAATAAATCTAAATACTCGCTAGCTGTAGTAAAATTTATATTGATTAGTTTATAATTGGTTGATTAGAGAATTGGTTAAATGATATTGAAAATTGATTTCAATAATTGTGAATCTAAATACTCACTTACTGTAATATAATTTATATTGATTAGTTTATAATTGATTAGAGATTGTTATATGAAATTGAAACTTTGATTTAATAATTATGATCTTGATACTCACTTGCTGTGATATAATTTTTATTGATTAGTTTATAATTGATTAGGATTGTTATGTGATATTGAAACATTAATTTGATAATCATGAATCTAAATACTCACAAACTGTAATATAATTTATGTGATTAGTTTATAATTGATTGAAGAATTGTTATATGATATCTAAACATTTGATTTCAATAATTATGAATCTTAATACTCACGAACTGTTATATGAATTGTTACATAATTCATATCAATCAGTTTGCAATGATTGGAGAATTGACATATAATTCATATCAATTAGTTTATAATTATTGGAGAATTGTTATCATTATATGATATTGAAACAATGATTTCAATAATTATGGATCTAAACACTCACTCACCGCAATATAATATTTATAATTGATTAGAGGATTTATATATTATATTGAAATATTGATTTCAATAATTATGAATCTGAATATTCACGGACTGTAATAAAATTTATATTGATATTTTATAATTGATTAGAGAATTGTTATATGATATTGAATTAAATTAAACATTGATTTAATGATTATGAATCTAAATACTCACTTGCTATAATAAATTTTAAATTGATTAGAAAAATTCTTATATATTGAAGCATTAATTTCAATAATTATGAATCAAATACCCACTCACTGTAATATAATTTATATTTGATTAGTTTATAATTAATTTAAGAATTGTCGTAATGTTAAAAAATTGATTTCAATAATAATGAATCTAAATACTCACTAACTGTAACATAATTATTATTGAATAAAAATGTAATTTAACATGTGTAATTTATTAATAGCAATAATTAATTACGATTTAAAGTGAAGTTTAATGTAACAATATGTCCACTCTTCTAATTCTTCCAATTCTTCCAATCTCCTGTTTCTTTCATTTCTTCCGTTTTTCTTGTTTCTTTCATTTCTTTTATTTCCCCTTCTTCTTTAATTTCTTTAACTTCCATTTATAACATCTAAAAAAAAAAGTATTGCCAACAGCCACATAAATAAATTCCGCTTCACATGCATTTATATAACAATAATTATTCCAATTTTGATTAACAAAAAATACAAGATCATGTTGGTTTCACAATTATTCCAATTTTGATTAAAAAAAACACAAGATCATGTGTAAGATTCAATGTGTATTACATAAATCATGTGTTGATCTTCACTACATTGCATCTAAAATATTTAGAGGTTTCGCTTCCTCTTATTATAGTTATTGCTGTTGTCGTAGTTAAATATTTTGTTAATAATGATGATGATGAAAACGCAATTGTTATTGACTTTATTATTGATATTGCTTATATTTGTCAGCCTTCTATTTCGATATTATAATATTTCGATATTATAATTATTACGTGTTGTCGGTTATGTGTAATCTAAATTAAAAATTTACGTTAATTTAATAATATATTATGTCCTTCATATTTTTAATACTTTTAATATTTTTCAAATTTAAAAAGTTTTTAATGACAAACATTTGATTAAACTGAAAAACTTCTTTTTTACATTATACAATTTGTATTGTAAATTATAATATTTTGTCAGTTCTTCAATATTATATTTTGGAAAAGAATTTTTTTATGAATATAATGTGAATGGTTTTTTTTCCTTAAATCTTAATCTTATTTAGTGTTAAAAGACAAATTCTAAATATCATTTCCCTTATCGAATTGCATTTTAAAAGACAGTTACTTTAACGAAGCGTATATAAACTTTTAGAAGATTATCATTTTAACAATAATATGTTGCAAATCCGCGAATTGTAACTTTATCGGGTTGCTCACAAGTGGATTCATAATATATATTTGTTAGCGTTACTCCTTTCTTAATAAATAAACCATAACAATCGTTAATCTCGGAGAATCGAAAAATAATACTATCATTATCGTTAATACCATCAATAATAGCTTTAAATTAATTCCATCTACTAATATTCGATAAATATACCAATATCTCTTTTCTGTATATGATTCATTTTTTTGCTTATTGTTTAATTAAATTGATTAATTATTTAATGGATAATTAAAAAGAACATTAATAAATTCTTCAATTTCATATCTACGAAACGCAGAGCACAAAATCGTGGCTTCCCTTGCCTTTTATCATTTACTTTCGGCATAGGGAATTCCTTCTATCTTTTAACACACCCAACATTCGATTTTTATTATATTTTTTTAGGTCAGGATTTTTGAATCTAAAACACTATTCGTCACATTTATATATCACCCAAGGGAAATTTCGCCGATTAAAATTAGTAATAGATCTTATAATTCGAGTTTAAATAGATTATTACTTCAAATTTCATATCTCATTTTATTAAAAAAATAAGTTGAATAGTTAAAATAAACTTAATAAAATAAATATTATATTACTTCCACTAATAAAAAGCGGGACATAAATTTTGAACAATGCATCATTATAGTGGATATTTCAAAAAGTAATATTAAGATAAATTTCAAAAAAAAGACTAAAATTATTTAGATATTTATACCAAATGGAACTAATATTATTTATTTTTTTAAATATCATACTTATCCAACGCTTGTCGTTTGTAGATAATCAACCATTTTTGTCTTCAACATAAGCAAATGATATTTATTTAAAACAAAATAATGATGCAAGTTTAAAATAAAAAAATAAATATATTATTTAAATTAATTTTAATCTCGTTTAGGGATTTAATGATACGTCATAAATCTATTAAACAAATAGAGAATTTTTATTATCAATATACTTTATTTATCATTTAGAACTAATTTATAATTTAAAATATACAATTAATGATATTAACTTCGGAGATTTTATATTCTTTTCGATTCTCGTTGGCATACAGACAAAGAAAATTATAATAATAAATTATTATCTTTACCAATAACGACAAGAAATTATGGACTAAAAGAAAAAGATCTAAAGATTCATGACAATCAGGCATTCGTTGTGTTATGTCAAAAATAATAATTTATTTATTCATTATTATTTATTTTTTAAACACTGTTTTCAATATTTCATTTTAATTCATTGCATTCATTGTATTTATCCTTGCTTAATTAGAAAATTATAAATAATAATCTCTTTTGATTACACTACTACACAATGTTACTATTAAGGCCAGATATTCAATTTTTAATTAAAGTTTTAAATAATAAATAACCTTGAAAAATTGAATAAATCAGTTTCTGCCTTAAGTATCAACTATAGTTTCATATGTTCTTTTTTCTTATTTTTTTTGATTTTTTATAATTTTTCCATTTCCTTTTTTATTTGGTTTCTTATAAGTTGTGTTTAAATATTTTTAAATTATATTTTCTAATGTATTCAAAACCATATTTCTATGAATTCATTTAAAAAAAAAAGATAATAAAAAATTTTTATCAATAGGTAATAGATTATGAGTTCTTCATCCCATTAAGTTGAAGATTTTTATTTATAATAAATATTAAATTAACTATAAAAATCTATAATAAGAATAAAAATAATATGAATGTTATTGAACTAATAAAATAAGACAATTTAGTTTTAAAATCATATGAAACAATTTTGACCCAATAATTTATCCAATTATTTAAAACGAAAAATATTCAGATTTATTATTATTCAAAATATTTAAGAGTTGGGATGTAAACCACCACATAATTGAGCCATTGAGGGGGTAATGATTGAACAAGTGCTTTATAAGTTAATCCAACACCTTCAGGAAGATAATTAATAAGTTCGTCATCATCCATAGTCATATATTTAAAAAGATCCGCGTTAAGAAATGAAGGATTAGAGTCTTGATTTATATTTAAAAGTGTAGAATTAGGGAACGAAGGATAAGCATTTAGAAATTTTTGATCAATATTACGAAATGAAAGAGGTAAATTAATTGGACGAAATGGAAGAATCGGATGATTTATGCAAGTGATGTCTAAAGGTTCTTATCTAAAGAGACGTGATAATCATTTGTATCAGATACTTGATTAATGTAGACAAAACAAAGAGAAGGAACAATTTCTTCGAAACGTCTTTTAACATTTTTTGCCAATTGTTTGTAATAATCTTTAATATTTTGTGGCTCATTTTGCCAAGAAATGCTGGAAATTTTAGATACTTCTTTAAGTGCAAGATTAAATTTAGCAACTATACGATTATATTCTTTTCGATAAATCATAAATGCATTCATGGTTTGATTAACGCTCTTAATTCCATTTTTTAAATGAAGTTGTACAATTTCATCTACAGTAATAGATGGGGGAAATGGTACTTTTATTGAATATATAGTACTTTGATAATTAATAAGAGACATATCTGATATTTGAATTTTTTTTATTCGAGGAGGGTTGGGGAGGATTGAAAAGGATTGAAGAGAAGGTTTTAATAATAAAATTTAACACAAAATTTATTTTAAAATAATTTGATATATATACTGTATATGTATAAATAATATATATATAAATGGAATTGATTTATTGTTATTTGATGTATTACATCAAATTCTCTTTGATGTATTTACATCGAATTCTCTTTGATGCAGATTTTTTTTTTATGTTAACTCTTGGCTTTACTTTTTAAGCGTGGTGTAAAAGAGATTCTAAATTTGAAAATCCAAATGAATTTATTATCTATAAAATGTACGTCGCACATAAGATAATTTATATTATTTTAATTGGTCTCAGGAACAATTTGTGAAGTTATGTGGGAAATGACGCGATTGAGAATAGGTTGACGTGATCTAAGTCGGTCAATAAATGAATGTCAAAAATTACAAATATGGTGAACGGAAAAATAAAATCATACATTTTCCATTTATATTTAGGATACGGTCAATTATGAATGAGGATCAGGTGACAACGAGGTACAAAGGTATCGTTTTTGAGAGACCTGTGATTATTTTTTTGATAGATCAAATACATGTGATAAATAGTTTTTGATATGTTTATTTTGTTGATATGCTTTATTTTAGTTGGTGTTAATGTGACATTTCTCCTTAACTAAATCCTTCTTTATCTATTTTTTAGTTTTGTTAAAATATTTCTTTATATAGTTTAAATTCTATATTTTATTTCAAAATTTGACATTTTACAGTGACCAAAAATCATAAGGAAAAAGATCCACTTTCTTGTAGAGATAGAAGCACAATCGACATGGTGAGATTTTCGATGAATAGAATTTATTTTTTTACTTCAATAAAATAATTTTATAAAATTTAAAGTAATTTGTTACTTTCTATTGTTATTAAACTTTAAAAAATATAACTTTTAATGTTTTTTATAATAAAAATAAGTAGCCAAGAAATAATGGTAAAAGAATATTGTTTATGATGACATTTTAGAAAATAATGTTATTTTATTATTATTCATATTCAAGAAATTTCTGTAAAATTTCCCAAAGCAACATGTTTTTTGGTTTTGTAAATGTTTTCTGGCTTTCATCTTAAAATAATGATTTCATCATTCTGCAAAAATTATTAAAGCAAAGAAAATATGTATTAGTTAAAATAAAAGAGACACCAGGAAATATTGATAGGCGAAGGCCTCTGGAGGTTTTTCGTTGCTTCCGGAGGATTTTTTATGTTTTTCGACTTCGCTCGCGATTTATAAAGCATAGAGCGATTTTCTACTAAGCTATTTCTTTCTATCATATAAAAGCTGAGTAGAAAATCATTCCATGATTCGCAAATCGCGAGCGAAGTCGAAAAAACGTAAAAAGAAAAAGCAAAAATTCCCGAAGATTTCTACGTTTTTTCGACTTCGCTCGCGATTTTCTACTAATATATAAAGAACTGCCTTGTTCTTGGCCACAAATGATCGATGTTTGCGGGTTATTCAAGTTTAATATTGCGCAAAACTTTCCCGAACGTTTTTAAAGCTGAAATAACTCCACAAATGTGCAATCGGGATGAAACCCATATCAATTTGTAGCCAAGAACAAGGAGTTCATTATATATTACAAACACCTTAGTAGAAAATCGCGAGCGAAGTCGAAAAAAAGTAAAAGACCGCACAAAAAACAGGGTGATGAAAATTTTCCCCTAATAAAATTTACTGATGCGTGACTTTTAAGCATGTCGCAGTTTAAGCAATTTAATGTTTATGACAGAAATGTGACATAAATTGATCAAACTAAGGTAATAAAATATATCCTCTCTCATATTCATATTCATATACTCTTGTGATTAATAATAATTTTATTCTTTATTCAGTTAAAAATTTCGATTTGTGGCACAATTTTCTGCCGAAGAACGAATTTTTGAAAAGGGAAAACTTAAATTAGCTAGTTAAAAGAAATAATGATGAAGAAGAAATAAATGATATTATAAGAAACAGTTGAAAAATTATTAGATCGAAATAAATACACCGAAACAAATAGTTTAACGAGACTTGCATTTTCATGAATTGGATTTTTAGCTAAACTTTTAGCACATGTCGATACTGCTTTTAAATTAGAAGAAAATATGTTAGTTAAAGGAGCTAGAAATTGAAAGAAAGTTTTAAGTATTAAATTATTAAAGTTTATTAATTAAAGTTTATTGGAATTAATTAATTAAGCTTTGTTAATGAATTAAATTGATTTCTCAGTATTATGAAGGAGATCATCTTACTCTTACACCTAGAAAAAAAAATTCCATTGGATCCAAATTTTATCCTAGTAGAAGATGGTGATTCTATATCATCATCATCATCTAGTGGTGATGAATTAGTTGAAGAATTAATTGATTTTGATGGCGATGACAATGATCAAAAACAGCGAGTTAAAAGAGGAGGTGATAATGAAATAATTTTATATTTAACACCACCATCATCATCATTAATAATATCATCAGCATTACCATTACCACATCATCAAGATTACCACCACTACCAACATTACCACCAACAACATTACCAAACATTACTGTTATCAGTAGGTAGTAAATGATAGTTTTTTAACAAATTCATTTCATCATCATTCTTATGGAATAACTTAACAATCAGTGGAAATGTAACATCACTTGTAAACTATTTTTCAAATTTTAAATAAATGTTCTTTACTTTCAAAATAAAAGTTTCTGGAGACTTTGTGACCTTATACTTTCTATTTATTAATATTATACTCTCTGAAGAACACCTATTCTCTTATATCAAAGATCCAGCTTTCAAAATTCATAAAGTTCTATCAAAAACTTATTATAAAAATCATTGTTTAAAAGGAAAATAATTTTTGTGAACTGATTTTACTATTGATTTTACAAAATTAATTGAATTTCTGATACTTTAAACATTCCTTAACTCTTTTATTAAAATTTTAACTTTATAAAATATATTTACTCAAAAATTGAACGGATTACAAAAATCGTGGTTACACAAACAATAGTGAATTTTAGCAAGGTGGTGGGTTTAATGTTCATATTATCTTAGGTATATTAATAAATATAATTATTCTTTTTAATTTGGGTGAGTTTCTAATCGCATTCTCACTATTTACAGACTTTTATTGTATCTGATCTTTTATTTGACACTTCACTTACCTTACACGAAAAAATATGAAAACAGACATGTCAACAAAGCTGTGAAAAAAAAGTACTCTACCAGAATTGGATTTTTCAAGTATTATCTTCGATCTCAAGTTTTACACCTCAGAAGTACTTTTGATCTTATTATATTATCCACGGTAAACATGGAATTGGAAAATCAACATTGATTAAATGGTATCGAGAGAAGTCGGGTACCAAAAATAATTCTGAATATATGTATTATAATTATTAATATCATCAACATCATCAAATTAGCAACAATTGAAGGTTAAAATTGTAGTCCAACAACTTTCCTTACTATATGCTATCATCACTTAATCAACATTCTCATTTGACGCAATCCACATAATAATAATATAAGTAAAGTGAGTAATGTATTGAAATAATAATCTAAAATCTATATTTAATAATAATGGTGGAAGTACTGTCATAATAACGTCGTACTCTAGTGAAAAATTAATGCAAATGGTGGTGGTAATTCTGGCAATTCTGTGGTTAATTGTGGTGGCGTTTTACTACCAATGAGCAACTACAACATCATCAGCTTCGTCGTCAGCATTCCTCAGACGTATTATTTTATCCATTACACCATCACCAAAACAATAAATAGTCAGATTATGGTGATTACAAAAATAATAAATTAACGACAATAAATTCTCATATCGATAAATGAGACAAACAGAGCAGAACAAACAAGGTCACGATAAAAGTAAACAAGATGATAATAAATACGAAAAGAAAAAAAAAAGAAAAAAATAATTTAGAAAAATTAAAGAAATTATGTCCGAACAAGAAGGCTTTTAAAAAACGGGAAAAATTAATTAATAATTATAAAAGTTATTTTGATCAATTACAACTTAGTACTGAAGATTTCAAGATTACGTACATACATTAAATAAAGTATACTATTCCCTTTTACCTCCTAAGAGATGATTTATTTTTTTTTGCTTTGAAAGTTTTTTTATATTTCTAAATTGTATTTTATATTTAAATGTTGAAACTTACAAGACTATTCTATCTATAGTTTTTATGCTCAATTATTTGTATTATAAATATGATTTAATTATTATAATTTGGTTGCACAAATCAGCTTTCGCATTTACCATTTCCATTCTTTCTTTAAAAATTTGTGTAAAGATAATTCAACAACTATTTTATTTTATGTTTGCATGGTATTTTAGACTGAACCATATCATTTTGTAAAAGTATTTATTATTAAAAAAAGAAAATTAGATACTTTAATCGAAGTCTGTGAATAACTATTTTTCTTTTTCAAAAGAATTATAATGTAAAATTTGTTCAATTTAACTTTGATCTATGATCTTTTTTTATTATTATCAATATAATATTTTTTCCTTTGATATTTGTAATAGATATTATTAATTTATTTATGTTATTGAAAAGAGATTTTTCATTGAATTAAGCATTTCTTTATAATATTTTTGAAATAATTATGTATAACAAAATTGTATAGTTTTTTTATAATCAAAATATTTTATTTTTTATAAAAAATGTGAGATAATATAATTTATCTGGATTTAATACAATATATCAATTTATTAAATCACCCTTACATCAGCAAGAGATGACATCAATTACATCATATTAGCATAATTATTTTAGATTATAAAAGGAAATACATTCATTTGCTCAAACATTCACTTATTTCATTCACTGAGATTAATAATAATTTAAAATAAATTTAAAAAGATAGTAAATGAATAATATAATGACTTTAATGAATTTAAAAGACTAAGTTATACATTTTACTTAAATTATGTCATAACACATTATTATATAACTAATGATAGTACAATTATATATAAATGAGATTAAAATAATTCTCTTTAAACTGTAGTATTGAAAGAAGTGAATTGAGCTATCCTTGATTCTTATTGCAGAATTTGTCTCTCTTCCAGTCAAATTCAGATAAAAAACAGAGAACATTCACTTTCTTCTTTAAAGGGTAAATTATAATGTAGTATATAGCACAACAAAAAAAAACTTGTATTGTAAACATCAATTAAAATTTTTTAAAATTATATTAATAATTATTCCTAAAAAATATAAAAATAATAGATAATTATCATCAATTAAATCTGCAATCAATAAAGACATAACCAGCCAACAAGATCATCAATGCCAAAAACAGAAAAGAAATAATATTGATGGTCATAAAAATATTCATAATAACTGATAATATAATTATTAAAAATTATGCAAATGCATAAAATATGATTTATATAATTTAAAAAACAAGCCTACAAAATGTATTTGTCTTTCTATTGATAGTTGAATTTGAAATAATTAAAAATACAATTACCCTATTTAAATTTCTTTTCATGGAAAACTTAAGCTTAAAGCATATTAATATTATCAACAATTTTGGATGAAAAATGTAGTTAAAAATAAATAGAAATCATCTTAGTTCTTAGATAGGCATAGGAGGCGAAATGACATTTTATCAGTGTTATATATTTCAATCTTAAAAGAATTACATATATTATTAAAAATTATTAATTTTAAGAAATATAAGAAATAAAAACTAATTACATTTAAATACAAAACATACATTCATTCAGAGCTTTGTTTTTTCAAGAAAGTGGCAGAAATTATGTTCTTTTATATTAAAAGGTAAATTATTATAATTTTTGGGTATATTGACTGCATAGAAGAAAAAACTTAAATTGACCTATAGATTATTAAATAATGTCAACGATTCTAAATATTTTATTATATCTAGTATATATTTTTTTTAATTGAACAAATTTATCTGAAGATGATATACAATACAACATGATCAAATTAAATATCATTTCCAAATTTTAAATTTCAACACATCAACAAAAGAAATACAAATCCATTAAATTTGCTAGTTTATTTAGGAAATATTATATCTAAATTTTCGAAATTACAAATACAGAGATTTTTTAAATTTAATCCACATTTAAATTGATGTCTCTTTTAATTATTTCTTCATAAATTCTATTAATAAATAATTAATGTAAAATTTATATGATCACAATGCTTCAAATGAAATATAAATAGTAGTAATCACACCATATATAGTATCCTTAGTGATGAATTGTCTGCAAATCGGCATTCAAATAGTAATAACATTTTTTTACGACTGTTAATTTTTAAGAAAAAATATTCTATACAGAAATTGATTATTCTCTTCATACATAAGAGTACTATTGTTCAATAAATATTAATTTATCTGTATTCAAAAATTTATAGATATTTTACTATTACACTATAATAGGATACTTCATTATAATTTATTACATTTGAAATAAAAATAGGATTATATCCATTATGTTTGAAGTGTTATTTAAAAATACATAAATAGATATAAGAATTAGAAATCAAATATCTACTTGTGAAAACTTTTGAAGTATTGAAAGAGAAGGAAATGACAGACTAGACTTAAGAGATCATATATAAAATTTTCATTAAAACTAGAAGATTTTAATTTGATGTATCCTATTCTATTAAAATTTATCAGTTAGATAAAAAATGGATGTTTTAATAAGTGTGCTACATCCACATTCTGCAGCTACATGGAAGAAGAGTGTCTAGCTAGAATTTGTCTCACATATATATTCTCACTATGAGATTCTTGATTAAAATCTGCTGAACTGATGAAAAGAATTTTATTTTAATTTGATTTGTTATTATCAGGGCATAGATGAATGTTACTTTGAAAAATATTCACTTGTATAAATGACTTTCATACTTTAAGTTTGAAAGAAATGAGAGATTATATACTTCAAATCTATATAACCATTATTTTATATTATTAATTTTTATTAATTAGATAAGATAAAATCTCATCTCAAAAACGTGAATACATATATAATAAAACTAATCACACTTTCAAGAATATGTATATTATACATTTACATTCATAGATACATCATTATCAAAATTATGCTATTATAATAAATAATAAATTTTAATCCAGAATTTAGGATTAAAGATTTTAAAAGTAACATTTAAAGTTGATATCACAGGTAAAATACAAAAGATATTCTGTACTGAAAAGGAATTCCGATTTTAGCTGATTTATAATATAAGATGCAATAGGATGGTCATTTTTACTGACTTTTAGCTAATCTATAGTATAGGAATTCCTATTTTTAATATAGGAATCACCATTCAGTACAGTAATTCTTTTGTATTTGACTAGTGTATAAGTATACAAATGAAAATAATTTAATTCGATCAAACAATATTCACTTCAACTTTTGCATAAAAATTTGTGATCTAGAAGTCATAAGTGTGTTGAATTGAATTATATTATGAATTGTAATATTGTAAAAACTTAGTGCTCTGCTGGCCATGTCCATATAAATTTAAGAAAGAAGAAATCATAGAATAAATACAATTATTTCTATCAAAAAAATTAAAAGAAACATAGAATAGATATTATTTAAAGTAATAAAAATAAAAATTTATCATTCAGAATTATAGTAAAAATAAATTACCAGAGAACACATAAACATAAAAATATGCTCATATTTTAGCATTTTTATTAAGTCACCTAAAGGATCCAAAATGAAATGATTTTATCAAAAAAGGTTTTAAATAAAAGAAAATTAATATTCAAGTTCCCTTCAATTTGAGCAGTAGATAGAACAATGCAATGAAAAAAGAATTGATGCAACCTTATTTAAAGAATATAATTTAACTTTTCAATATATTTATTATGTAATATGATTCTGTTCTTATATGAGTTCTAATTAAGTATGCATAATAAAAGTATTGCATTTACAGATTGCATATTTATGAGCTATAGTCATTTCTTGATGACAGTTTAAAGGAAAAATGAGCATGAACCTTTTATATGCTGCAAGAACATGAACTGCCAAATATAATACTGATCTTCAACGAAAGGCTTATTATTGTACTTGGGAAAAGTATAAAATTAAAATTTACAAACAGAACTTCATCTATTGAATCAAACATGAAGTTTAAAGTTCCATAGTTTTTCATGGTGTAACAGCATAAAATTATTTTATCAAAGAAATCATTTAAAAAATCAAACTTGTTATTCTAGTACCACTTCGCTCATTGATACAGATACACTTATTTATCCATAAAAGAAATTTATTTTTACTCAAAGAAATAATAAATACTCAAAAGATCCAAAGATCACTTTGAATATATCCATACAATTTTTTATAAAAACAAACAAATTCTTCAAAAAAAATAGTCAAGATATTCAAGATATTCATAGATTTGGAAATAATTATAAATTATTTGAATATTGAATTTATGAGACACTAGCGAACTTGTTATGTATGATAAATCAAAGAAAAACTACAATACTTTATAAAAATTAAATTTAATAAAAAACTGCATTAATTAAATATTCCATATTAGATGAACAAGTAAATATTTATACATAAAATATCAACACGAAAATAATTATAAAAATAGAAAAATGTGTAATTAATAAATACTTTTAATACTTTATGTACTTGATTAATTTTTATCTGTTTGAAATAATAAAGTGTACTTGATTAATAATAGGAATGAATTTTTGCACAGATATTTTTCGCATTAAATTTCATTAGTTTCATCAATTCACAATTTCTTTATAAATTTCTATCGTATGATTCTTTTAAAAAATAAATTGTAAATAAATGTATGATCATTTGTTTATTGCTATTATGTGTAATTCATATCTTCCCCGAAGGTGAAAATCCCTTTATTCTTCTCCGCAAATTTTGGTCCCTCTTGATAATCTAGAAATTTTTGAAGCAGTCTCTTCGAGTATTTGACCTTCAATTTATTAATTTAATTTGATTTAATTGACTGTTGTTTATTATTTTACTGTAATAAAAAATATATAATTTTCTTATTAGATAAGAATAACAACAATTGGTTCATTTGAAAATGAAATTTACATCTCTTTTACATTTATAAATAGAAATGAAATTTACATTCTTTTTCTTATCCTTGATTATAGACTATAATATCAGAGCAGTGTTAAGATTTTTATAATACAAATTATCTCCAGAATAAAAACGAAATTAATTGAATTTATACCAATATATTTATACAGTAAAAACAAAAATAATAAAATTATGAAATGAAATATAATATAATTGTTACTTACTAGTGAAGAAGATTCTTCGTTCATTTATATAAATTGTTTTTTTCGTGTTTTATAATTAAGTGAAGCTGTATATGTTGTTTCTTGGCTTTTAGAAAATCCTTCACCTTCTCTAATTCGAATAATAGCATTTATTCAGCTTTCATATAATTCTTCAAAAGTGATTCGGTGATTTGTTCGAGTATCCCAACATCGCATAATCACTTGTGTAATTAATTTAGGAGTATAAAATGTAATTTTTTGGTCGTAATCCATTATATTCTTCCCCACATAATACTTAAGGAGCTTTATAAGGTAATATTCCTCCAAAAACATTTCTCCCAATTAATTTACTTAACTCAAAATCTGATATACGTAAACTATAAAAATTTTTAAAATTACAGTATATGATAATTAAATATTTCCGGGTGGAAATCATGATGAATTATGGCAAATTTGAAATTTAATGTTAAATCTCTTAAACAATATAATCTCTCACACCAACTAATATCATTCAAATTATAATTTAAATAATTTCTTAGGTTTCCATCGTATATTTGGTAGTTTCTGGATCCTTTGTAATCTCATAAAATGAAATTGATATTGTCTTCAAATGAATTGCCATCAAAATAAATTCATTTTTAATAACAATTAATATTATATTTACAACCAAATTTTTATATCAATTTAAAATATTATTTTACCTCATTTAAGAAGCTTTCATTCATATCTCCAATATCATCAAACTTTTTTAATGCCACTCACGTTGACTACACTATATAATAATTTTAATTGGTATATGAAATTAAATTATTTAAAAGCATTTTTGTAGATATTCATACACCCTGGAATATATTATCATATGATTTTGCATATTTATATATTTCAGATCAGATTTTGGGTTAAGTAAATTAATTGGGAAAGGTGTAGAAACTCCCCCAAAGGGAATTTTTTTTGGAAAATTGCCCTAGATAGCTCCTGAAGTATTAGGTGAGATGAGTATACAAAGGCTACTGATGTCTATTCATTTGCATTTATTGCTTATGAAATATTTACTGGTCTGGTTATTCACCACACCATATCTAATGTGCCACATTAGCTTTGAAAATATGTAATGGATTACGACCGAAAATTCCTCTTTGCCTCCTAAATTAATTACACGAATTATCATGCGATGTTGGGATTCTCGAGTTACCCAACGATCCACTTTTGGCGAATTATATGAAGAATTGAAAAAAATACTGATGATTATATAAACAATATTGATATAATTACAATTCAAATGAAAAAGGCTGAGAAATTTTCCAATAATCAAGAAGCAGCTGAAACAACAACTTCAACCCCGGTTAACTATAAAACACACTCACAAGCATTTTATACCAGTAGACTTCTCAATTTTTTAAATCTTCAATTCCTATAAATGGACAAAATTTTGAAAAAAAAACCTGGAGAACTAACAGAATCTTTTTCCCATATATTTACTAGCAAATATGATATTAATTATATGTTTTATTTTATTTATTTTTACTTAGATGATGATATTGGTGATTTTTAAATAGAATAATATTATTATAAAAGTAAGTTTGTTCAAATTCGATCAACTTAGTTTGGAGTCAATACAATTTATATTTTATAAAGTCTTCAGATTAAGTATAGGCATAAATCATCATATTTTTGTATATTTATTTTATCTAACTTACTATCAATGGTATTTTATATTTGTTATAATTTAATAAAAAAGTTCATATCGTTTGTTAATATTTATTATTTGTGATTGAACTTAATTTATTGAAAAAGTATCTTTTTTTTTATTCGATTTTGAAGTCATAGAATTATATTATTTATTAAATATAATTATTTTTTATCAATTATTATTATTCTCATCAATTATCATAATTTTTCTTTAATTTTAAATATTCAAATAAACAATATTTTCTTCATTGAAGAATAATGACTTGATTTTAATTTCAATTTTCATTATTATAATATGCTAATTAAGTTAATGAATTTTTAATACAATATTTAATACTAATATTAAATAAAGTATAAAAATGATAAATTGTGTTCTTTTTCGTGACTCTGTAATTCTTGTCCATTTTTTACATAATTATAAATAAAATATTTCTTATTATGAAATTTAATCTACAAGATCTATTATCGTATCATCATCATAGATTAATACTAAATATTCTCGATTACATGACATGATAATCTAATAAACGTTAAAACAAATTCGGTTTAAATTTAAACTATCATTTTATTATTATAAAATATTTTTTTGAAAGAAAATTGATTTATAAATATAATGAATAATGTTCTATTTTTACCTCAACAATTTTTTTTCCAAATGTCATTTCCTCCTACCACCCAAGCCACTTCAAGAATATCTTTTTTCCAAAAAAAAAGTACGAGAAAAAATATTTTAAACCGCTATTTATTAATTATTTATTAATTAAATCATGTATATGCGTCGATTAATAACTTGAACCACTATTCATTTAATTGAATTCAATGAAATGATGTAAAAGGTAATTTCCTCGGGGAATAAGATTTGTACTTTTATGAATTAATTTCTTGTTCTATAAATATTGATTGTTGGGCCCTTTTCTTTTTTTCGACTCAATAATTTGCAAAGAAAAATAGGGCATTGAAAAGTTATCTCAAAACTTCTTAATGACAAAGATGGTCACAATGTAATTATTGAAGTTAAAATAATTACTAAGTCAATGTTGTTCTTGAGCAAGTTATTATAAACAAATTTATAAAATGACAATAATAACAATAATACTTTCATTATTTATTAATTATTATTTATTTATAATTTGGAGAATATTGAAACCAGGTTTGTTTAATTTAATTTTGAACTCGAGGAATTAACCAACAAATTAGAAACTCTTCTCGTTGATACTACAGCTTCATGGTTAAAAACACATTTCTCTCTAGTCTATCATACTACTTTCGATAGTCAAAACTTTAAAAAATTAGAAAATTGATGTAATGATATAATTGTAAAGTATCCAATCTTATTTTTGATAGATTACATTTTACTTCTCTTCAAGAATCTGCCCTGAAGCGAGACGATTTGCAAATGAAAGAAGCCGAAATTTGGGATCAAGTGGGGAATTGCTCAGAATCCAACTCTTCCTATAAAACTTAAAGTGTGGACAAAGAAAATTTATCCCATTGAAAAATACTTTACAACAATGCATAATATGAATTAAACTTAAAAATAAACCGTTAAATAGAATCAATGATGAATTAATGCAAAATAAACTATCTCCCTGAAATTATATTTTATGTATTCTCGTTACGTTGTTGGTACTATACATTTGCAAAAATATCTATTATTTATTAATTACTAATTACTAACGATCCGATCACTTATCTTACTAACATCAATTTTTTTTTTTTGTTCATTATTCTACTAATATGACTACTTCCTTTTCTTTCCTGCTGTTGTTTTTTTCTTGACTTCTTACCTGCTACTAACATTAATATTGCCTTTTTTAATTATAGTCGTGGAAATTGACTCTAGAATCTAGTTCAATATAAGAATGTAATAAATTAAACGAATTGTCATTTGATTCATCTCATAAATCTGATAAATTACAAATGGAGAGTCTACTCAACGAGAAAATTTAGGAGAAATAAAAGATAATAAATTTGGTAGAATTGCAAAGAAATACACCCTAGTAATTTCAACAATAACACTTCGGAAATAATATGCTCTTTTTGCGTTCTACAAAGTTCATAAGGAACTTGCAAGAATGTAGAATCAAAAAACCTGGACCAATTAAGAGCAAAGATTTCAAGGTACTGTATGTTACATCTCCGTTATTATCTCTCGATTATGAGATAATCTAATGATTACGCCCATCTTTAATACTACGTATACTTAAAAAAGATCGGTTGAAAATTATAGATTAATGCGATATCTTTAAATGGGTCAAAAGAACTAATAAGAATATATCAACTTTAAACCGAAAAAAATGGTGATAATGTAAAGAAGACAAACAATAAATAATAACAATTAAATTCGGCACTCAATCGTTTATTTTTTTTGAATATTAAATTAAATAAATATTACTCTGTACATTGTTTTATTCTATTATTATATTTAAATGGAATCTTTTTGTAACAACACATGGGAAAAAGGAAATATTTATAATTTATCAAAAAGTCTCATGGCCAATTCAAAGGCTACAAAGGTTGCAGCATTAACGGGACCAGCACGTAAAATGCATGCACTAAAACCTTGATAGAAACCCTTTATCCCTTCTTTTGCATAAGTTTTCCTCGCACAATCCAATGAACTCTTGTATTGACGTGTATCGGGAGTAAAGCCATCAGTCTGTAACTTGCTTTTAATGAGATCAACCGGAAACATTAATGCCCACATTCCATATCCTATTAAATGTTACGATAATACATTCATTATTAGTCATTTAATTAAAATTTAATATTAATAAGACGAGTAGAAAACAGCAAAAGTAAATGAAATTTGCGAGAGGAATCTCGTTTACCTGCTATCGCGCCAAATAAACAAGACTTCCAACTTTGTATTTCATGTCTTGCCTTATTTTCTTTGACCATAGAACGTTGCATCAAAAATTCATATATAAAGAAATATTGACCATATCCTTGGAATTCACGGAACATGGTGATACATTGTCCCTTATAAATCCCTTTGATGCCATAATATGAATATATTTTTTTAATACAATCTAAAGGACCAGAATAAGTTTTATTTGCTGCATTTAGAGCTTGAGGAGATGTAATTTGAACTTGGGGAGATGTAATTTGAACTTGGAGACCTGCGATAATATTTTAATGCTGTATGGTTACTGTGATTAAAATCGATAGCTCTTATTATAATTGTCTCACTTACGGGTACGAATATGTTCAACTGGTCCTATAAATATAAAATGAAAAAATAATAAAAATTGAAGGATGTTTTCAGTTATTATGAATTAGGTATAAAACGAGCGTATATATATATATACCCGATATAACAGAATTAGCTATCCCAGCAGCTGCTCCAGACAAATATAATTGTGAATTTGTAAATGAACCAATTTTTCCTCCATTTCTTTCATTAAAAAAACGTTTCATAAATTCTAAAACCAGAAATTGGATCGAAACGCAAGCTCCAGCGCCGACTAAAGGAGTTGTGGTTCCCTAGATTAAATGCTTATTGTAAGTATCTAATATTTATCGAAAACAATTAAAGTGATTTCCATCATTTTCAATTAATTATTTATTAATTTACATTATGCATAAAAATTTAACCTTATAAAATGCAGTAAACCCTTCATATTTTATGGTTTTTTGGACACAATCTAACATTCCAGAAAATCTTGGTTGTTCTCCGGCTTTAGGTATCGGTTGTGTTTGAAGTCTCTAAATAAAGAAAACATGATTCATATTTCGTTCTATTTCAAAAAGTTCACAAATAAAAATATTTAAAACATACCACTTTAACAGTATCAAATGGCTATTTTCTTATGATGCATGTTAACATTTTAAAAAACAAAAGATTTTCAATATTCCAAAGAGAAATTTTTACCTGTCCTACAAACACTTGAACAATACCACCCACAGTTCCACTGGCACAATCTTTAACAGCTCTCACAAATCCATTTTGAGTTTTCGTATTAGTTGTTGTGAGCGACATTATCTTGCTTTCAGATAGTTGACAAAAAAAAAGTTTCAATTGATAATCATAAAATTTAATTTGTGTATTAGTAATCTCAGTACGACTAACGCTAACGGAAATTAAACAATATTTATTATAAATTTTTTTTTATCGAGAGATTGTCATCAATTATTAGCCACCAAAAAGATTATGCATCATGTATTTATAATTTATTTTAAATAATAACTGGATTCGGTTAATTAGGATCTATTGTAGGCTTGACACGATTTCCGCGCCCACATTTATAATCCACAATATTGTCAAGCCACCAAATTCATAACCCAATCATTTTAGACCACATAAAAACATGTGAATATTTTATTTTAAAACCCTTAAAGTTAAAAATTATCTAACTTAATCAATAAAGATCGGCATGATTTTATAAGTATCATAAAGCCTTATTCGTTCGCTTTTTTCACATAATTTCCGACCAAAGTTCTTTTCTCTCCTACTTACACGTTGTTCTCTTCAATTCGGATGTCACAAAAAAGAGCCATATAACAAAGCCCAGGTATAAGATTTTTTCCAGAGATGACTGATGTATACTAACCTTTCAGCGTTTTAACTTGATGAACGAGATATTCAAGCACTGAAAGTGAGCTTTCTCCAAGCTTCATCTTTGGACTTGGTCATTCCTGCAGTTAAGAGTATGTCCATTTTTTTTTTCTTAGTGAACTCGTATTAACAATTTTAAAATATCGCATAGTCAAAAATTATTTGGAAAAAATATGAGCACATAATGATCCGCAAGGATCGAACCATTTTTTAATCGAACTCTTCTAAAGATTAAACTTTGAATTTTTGTGAATTAAGCTTTATTTATTTCCATTCTTCGTTAGGATCTTTTTTCATATTACATCCAACACCACCAAGGGTATTTCACTTACCACTACAACATTCTGAAATGTAATTTACTGTAATTTTAAGTGTATTAAAATGGATCTCATCTGAAAAATATTTCCATCTAATCTTTCAATTAATAATATTTAGAAATACTCAGTTAGAATTTTCGGAAGGAAAAACTAATAACTCGATCGCTGGACCGGATGATTAACATAAGAATTTTGTTTAAAAATTAAACATATTCTGAAGAAAATAAAAAAGTGAACATAAAAGATTGGGCAAGAACAAATTATTCTGCATTGGTACACTTCATTTCAATATTAGAACTTTATTTAATAATAAAAATTATTATTATTTTTAAGTAAATTTTGAAGCTAATAAATGGGCTGGGTTTCTTTCATAATTGGCCTTATGAATTTGAAACAACAACTTATTATGCAAATGTAGAATATTTTCTTTAATACAAAGAAAGATTATCTACGCTTACTTATGTTAGAATACACATAATGTCAAAATTGACAGTTATTGTTTCATTGGATTCGGATCTGAAGGAATAATTTATAGATGTTTTTCTATTGAGTATTGCAAGAATTTTTTGAAATAAGAGGTAGATTTTATATTATAGATAAATAAGCATTAATTATAATTATTCAAATTCTGACCCAACTTAAATAATATACAAAAGTTGAATGAACGTTGTTTATGATAAAATGTATTCGACAAAAGTTTAATGATTGTTGTATGTAATAAAATCAATAGTAAAGTGTATTCATAAAAGTTGATGTATAGTGAAATGAAAGAAATAATGTTTTTCATGAAATTTTAAATATTATATAAGTAACATCCCCAGGAATTACAACACAAGAATGTGAAAACTTTATTTATATAGCTATAATGTTAAATAGATTAATTAAAATTTACTTTATAAATTGGTTTTTCACAAAATTAGTCAGGTGGTAAAATTATACTTATTATGTAATATGTAGTTTTTATGTTTATTAGTTATGAATAAAGAGGACTTCGTAAGTCATTAAAAAAAAATTAATTTCTTATTTCTCTTGTATCTATGCTTATTGTATTTCCGATAAAGTATGTTAATATCTTCCTCTAAATTATAAGAATCGTAACTTCTCTGCAGTACGATAGTTGAATATTTATGAGTGAAATTTCTTGTTTGATATAACTTTCAGTTAAAGCATCATCTGTTATATTAATTATATATTCCTGATTTTTAGAATGTTGTGAAATTTTTTTTTTTGTAGCTTAAATTAATGTATAAATAAAATCACTATTGTCAACAACTTATAACGATATTGACGTGATAAAAAAGTTGCAAGCACTTTCCATTGTTCTTGTAATTTATATCTAATTACACCCACACATCAAGGAGATACTTAATTAATATTATCAAGATCATTATGAATTGTTCATTAGCCTTTGTATCGCTTCAATATAATTTCTATTATTTTATGAATATTATTACACTAAAGACATTAAGTACAATTGTTTTAAATGGGGTTTAACTTTTAATTCAAAATGTTTGTTTACAATATTTTTAATAAGTGATGTGATGGAAAGTGAATAATATTTATATTCATATTGTAAACCAACAGCAATACATACATTGATTTATTGGTTTATTAATATCAATAATTAAATAATTAATTATTTAAATATTTAATAATATTTCTCTAAACCAAATAAGCATTTAAATAAATATTTTTAATTTCAAAAAAATAAACATATAACCACTAGTGATTCCTTTTTAGTCGTTTCCAATATTTAAGAGGAGTTTTACCTCGGAATAAAGGTTCAATAAATACAATGAGTGACCAAGGGCTAATAAATATTCTACATCTATTAATAAATTAATTAATAAATTTATAAAATAATAATATAATAAAAATAAAAAGTAATAATATAATAAAAAATAAAATAAATTTTAATAAATAATTAATAAAATAACAAAATAATATAAGTAATGTTCTAGATTAACTGTAAAAGGTTTTGGATTATCTTGATCTTATTCAATTTTTTCAAAGTCATCATCATACATGGAATCAAAGCTTTAAATCTTAATCCTTCAAGCCAGGTTGGAAAGTCTAACATAAAATATTATGATTTAATATATTATAATTCAAATTAAATAATGTACAGTATATTATAATTATATTAATAATTTGATAATTTTATATTAAATTACCTTACAATAATTCATAATAAATGAAACCAATTGTATAATTTTTATCATAAAATTCTTTCTCTTTACTAATTTTATTCGATTCCATGATATTTTTATTAATTATCAATTTATTATAATAGATTTTATCTACTTTATTTATATTTTTATTATTACTTTCAATTATTATCATCATTATATTTTTATAATTACTTAAATTGGCTGTTAAAATAATATCCATATCTAATAATATTTAAAGGTACAATAGGTTTTGATTTTGTTATTACATTCTTTGAAGTCATGAGTAATAAAATTCTAGTGAAAAAGTCATTTCTTTTTTTTTATAGATAATATCTTCGCATCTTATTTATATTTTATCGATCTATTTATACGTGCGTCTGCTATTGGAATCCAAAGAATTACCTGAGATCTTAATTGTAAAGTAACATAGAATCAATGAGATACTGTACTAGGAAACACGGATGGCTTTGCGCTACTTGTCATTATATATACAGTATATATGTTTAAGAAATTGATTAATTAAAAGTTTAGATAATTCCAGTTTAATAATTGATAACAAAATTCGTCCGACGAGATCGAATTTTAAATATTTAATATCGTATACAAGTATTTTTTTTATCTAATTTTATACGCTGTATGCAAGTTAAAAGGAGAGTAGTAAAATTATATTTAATTATTTTAATTTATTAGATTATACAAATATGCTGGATTTGTATACACGCATGTATTTAAACTTTAATTTCATCGAAAATATTTCCAATTAACCATTATTGTAAACAAAAATTATCTAATGATTGGAATTATTGATGACATGCAAGTTTCTTTTTTATTTTATAACAAGTGATCCAAGTTTGGAGGATTATTGCTCTATAAATTGTATTAATTCTTTTTTTTTTTTTTAGTTTATGTTCTTAGGTAAGAAAAGATCAATTGAATCAAACTAAATTTATTTAGAAAAATCATTTTAATATAAATTATTTAAAATTCGTCAATATCTAAATAAAAATAAAAATAATTTCAAAATTTGATTCATTTAATGGCTTTGGGAGATTTGAAAAATTGAGAAGTCTACTAGTATAAATCGTTAATGATGTGTTTTGTATTTAAGTGAGTTGTAGTCGTAGTATCAATTGTTTCTTGATTTTATAAAATTCTTCAGTTTTGATTTGAATTGTAATTTCACCAGTACGGTTCGAATATCAAAGTATGTATTATCCAACTTTATATATAATTCTTTAAAAGTGGGTTGAAAGGTAATTCGAGCATCCCAACATCGCATGATCACTTGTGAACAGTAATTAATTTAGGAATATGAAATGGAATTTCGGTTACATATTTTCAACGCTAATTCTTTATCATGTGCCTGTCACATCTGGCGATAAGCAGCCTTCGTATATTTTCCTCACCTAATACTTCAGGGGTAATACTCCAAAAACATTTCTCTTTGGGGGATTTTCTACGTTTTCCTCAATCAATCTGCTTAATCTAAAATCAGAAATATTTTTTTTTTTTTTTTATATCCAACGGAGTCTTTGCTCCAATAAACTTTATTAATAGATTAAGTGTAAATTTTAAAGATACAGATAATTTATTTTACATTTATTGAAACTGACTAAAAATAAATTTTACGGTCCGACTCATCGTTGCCTAAGTATAACCTCAGGAACTAATCAGAATATATAAATTATGATTTTTTTTAAAATTATATGACAAAATATTTCCAGGGTGGAAATCCTGATATTTAATTTATGAATTTCTGTAAAAGTTATTGCTAATTTCTTAAATTATAAATTTTAGCATACCAACTAATGTTATTAGAAATATCATTTAAATAATTTTAAGATTTCCACTCGAATATCATCATATATTTGTGAGTTTCTGGATCTTTTGTAATTCCATAAAATCTAATTGAAGAATATGTTTTCATTGTTCTCATGTGAATTTCCATCTAAATAAATGCATTTTAATTGAAATTAATATATTATGGTTTTAAACAAATTTTTCTCACAGCAGCAAAATCAGAAAGTATTTGGCAATAATTCAATTGGTTAAACGATATATTTATAGGTTTTGCTTTTCGTCACTCCCGCATTGTTTTGGGTGACAAATATCTAGAAAATTCTCTGTCCTTATAATATTCGACAGATGTGACACCGGTGACAAATTTTTAACTCTAAAAATCCTACTTTTACCTCATTTAAGAAATCTCCATTAATATCACCAATACCATCAATCTTTTTTAATGCCATTCATCGTAGACCCGATCTTTTCCATTGTTGATTTTCAATATCACAATCTCTTATTCGTCCGTCGATCCACTCAGTTTAATAAACGATACCGAAACCACCTTCTGCTATTTTTTCAATACCTTTAAATCCATAAAAAGGTATCAATTAGCATTTAGTTGAGCATCTTGAATAAATTTATTTATTGTTTTATTTCCACTTGTCCATTTACCAAAAATTTTTGAAACGTGTTGAGTTGCACGGTTGACACCAACAATCATTTGTATAATTTGATTGCATTTTAGGCATATTCTATGTGACATTTTTATTCGCTTTATAGTTTGAAAGGTAGAAGTTTATTTTTTTAAAAATAAAATATCAAAGAATATTATTCTTATCTGAGTTCATGTTTCAAAAGTATCAAACCTAATTATACTGTATATTGTTTAGAAATTTCTTGGACTTCTGAGCGGAGAAGTATTTATGAGTTATTGATTGGTCTTTATTTATTTGTTTTTTATGAAAAACATGATTGTTACAAATTAACAAATAAACAGTAGATAATACGTAATAGATGGTTTCGCGTCACTTTAATTTTATTGACCTCATTTTTTATTATAAATATTAAGTAAAAAATTCCAGTTGATTGCATTAATAATTTAAAGATAAATAAGATTCAGTTAATAAAATAATCGTGAATGACAGTAACGACAAATTCATTTGGTTTGGTGAGAACGAAATCTGATATCTGATACTGTATACTGTAACGATATTTGGAAATATTTTAATGCATGTTGTATATTTTTTTTTATGTATCAGGAAATTTTTCTAAAAACGAATGAAAGATTATTAATTCCATTGTTCATCGCATTGTTGGTTCATGATAACTACAACTGTATTTGAGTTGTTGTGTGCTTTTGTATGAGCACGGAAGTATCATGTCACTAGTATATAATAAACGCGCGTTATATATATATAATTATACGTTGTATGCTTGTGTTTATGTTATGAGGAGATTTGTAGTAAAATTATTTAATAATATTTTTAATTATTTTAATTCATATTGATTGGATTATGAATATTAAAGAATTATCAATATTTTTATTTTTAGTTTATGTTCTTAGAGATCAAATTCCATTTACAATGTACAATTAATACAATAATTTTGTTTAATAGATATTGAATTGATACCATACAGACATGATAATAAATTAATTTAAATTAAATAAATAATTATAAATGAAAAATGAAATGAATAAAATAAAATATAATATACTTGATACTTACTACATGGTATTTTCAAAATAATCATTTAAGTATTTTTCTAATTCTTCATATAATTCTTTAAAAGTTGGTCGATGTATAACTTGAGCATCCCAACATCGCATAATCATTTTGTAATTAATTTAGGAATTGTGAAATGGAATTTTTGGTCGTAATCCATTACATATTCTCAAAGCTAATTCTTCATCATGTGCCACATCAGGATATGGTCGAAAACCAGTAACTGATAGACATCAGCAGCCTTTCATCGTCATTTAATTTAAATAATCTACCAATCAATATTATTAAAATTATTATTTAAATAATTTCTATGAATAAAATTATCTTTCCACTTGTCCATCATTTTTGAGTTGCACGCACGGCGGTTGATACCAACGATCATTTGTATAATTTTGATTGCTTTTGGGCTAATTCTATATGACATTTTTAAGGTATAGGTTTATTTTTAAAATGAAAATCAAAGAATTTATTTTTGATTTCGTTTGATGAATGTGTAATTTATCTCAACCTAATATATAGTGTTTAGTATCATACTATAATATTATATAGTATTATGTTGGAAAAGGAAATTTCTTGGACTTTGGAGATAATATCTATAGATACATCTTAAACAGTTGTTACGCACGCACAACAATTAAACTTTTTATTTATTATATATATATAAAATAGAAATGGATGAGGAGAATGAGAGGAAAAAATCATGAATACGTATACTGTTGAAAATAATTAATTAACAACAGTTAATAGTTTAAAGTTCAGTTAGTAATAATGTGAGTAACAAAATTTTGACAACTATTATAACAACAGTAACAAGAAAATTCATCTGAATCTGATGAGAACAAAATCTATCTAATATCTGGTATCAATATTGTATATCATACATTTATGTACCAATATTTGGAAATATTTAATGCAAAAAAAAAAAAAAATGCATGTTTTATACAAGTATTTTTTTTTTTATTATCAGGAAATTTTTTCTAAAAAACGAATGAAAGAATTTATTAAAATTATTATATATTTAGTAATTCCATTGTTCATTGTCTATGATATCAACTACATTTTTATTTGTGTTTTTGTGTGAGTGCGGAAGTTCATAGTATATATATATATTTAATAAACGTGCGTTATATATTAATAAAATTATACGTTGTATGCTTGTGTAATGTTATAAGGAGTAGTAAAAATTACGAATTGGATTATGAATATATAAATAAATATATTTGGATCTGTATATTAATATTTACTAAATATTTTTTAAATATCGTTCGTTGCAAAATATTGTGCTGTTAAATTTCCTGTTAAATTTTTTTGGTGTGGCTGTGTATGAAAAGTTTATTTATTTTATTATTCTTTTTTTATTTCTATTAATCTTTTTATTGATCTTTTTATTAATCTGCATTTCTTTTTGACAATTATTATGATGAGGCGCAATAATAATATTTATGGTATTTATGATGATGATGAGGCGGTGTAAATAACGATAATAATAATAATAATAATTAATTAAATAAAAATAATAATCAATTCATTATTACTATTCAAATGATGATGATATATTATCTAGTTGCTAATTTTCGATTTGCATTTATGTACAATATAACTAAAACTAAATAAGCATAAATGAGGAGTGTATTAAAAACTTTATTTAATTATAATGGTAAATGGAATAAAATTGGGTTGGAGCTAGTTCTTTATTCAGAAAGTAGCATGAATCAAGATAATAATAAAATGATCGTTGTCGTTGTTATTATTATATTGTTATCATTCTTTTCCCCCCAAAATTATATCTTTCTAAAAAAAAAACGAAAAAAATTTTTAATTCCGATTTAATTCAAAAAATTTTGATTTTTTAATTCTTTAAAAAAAATATTTCTGATTTTGATAGTATAGTAGTAATTATTTAATAATTATTGAATAATTATTGACATTTTGTTTATTTTTAAACGCCACCACATACACATATTACACACCACACACCACACACACGTACGTTAATATATACAATACGCAAGTATTCATTTTACTTATTCTTTCTGTTGAGGCTTGTAGGTATATTCATGTGTATATATATACTATATCTCAATTTTTTTTTACTATTAAACTTAATCTTAATTCATTTTTTTTGAAAAAAAAAATAACATCTATTCTTATTTAAACTTTGGAACATACCAAGATATTTATAATTTAAATAAATTCCTTCTAATCTAATGTAATTAATTTCTATTTATATTTATATTAATTCACATATTTAATTCAAACATATTAATTCAATATATTTAATTTAAGATATTTAATTCACATATTTAATTCACTATTTAATTCAATTCACATATTTAATTCACATATCTTAATTAATTCATAAATTCATTTATTTATATATATATATATATTTTATATATAATGATTTCAAATTGGTTATGGCGAAGGCGTAATTTTTGTAATTCTTTGAGATTTTATTCTTTGATTTTATTAATATTCTTTGGATTAATAATATGTACGTCAGTAGAGTCAGTAGAGTCAGTAGAGGTAGAGAGGAGAAGTTTGGATTATAATAATAATGATAATAATAATAATAATATGAATATTAATAAGAGAGCAATAATTCCAGATACCGCTTCATGTGGATCACTTTGCATAATAATAATTATTATTTCATTATCATTATTTTCATTAATAATAATAATCCTGATTTGTATCTGGTGTTTAAGAAGAAGAAAACATAAAATTGAATCAGAAGAAGGAAGAGGAATTTTAAAATCAGGAAAATTAGCAACAATAACAACCGAATCACCCGAAAATACTACAGATACAGCACCTTTAATATTTTCCAATTATCCACGTCCACGTTTAAGTCGAGTATTTGAACCTCTTATTTCAGAGTATTCATCATTTTGGTTTGGTGGTGGACGTCAACAACAACAACAACAACAAGAAGAAGGAGATGATGATGATATTAAAGATAATAGTATTTCAATAGCAGCTGAACAATTTACAAGAGATAATCCACCTCAAGAATTAATTCCACCAGTTGATCATATAATTCATATACAAAGTTTAGGAGGAGCTAAAGCGTGGACATGGGAACCTGAAGACACATTAATTAGCCAACAAATAATATCGATTACTAATGAAGGGAAAAATGTAACATTTAATAAAAGATCAGATGCAATGATACAAACTAATTATCCATTTTTTATACCTAGAACTGAAAGTGATATTATTTATGAGGAACCATTTGAACAACCTAAAACTAAGGATGAAAGACACGGACAAATGTTACATTATTTTGAAATTACTGTATTAAGTAATCCTCATCCTAATAATACTACAATTGCTATCGGATTAGCTACTAAACCTTACCCATCATTTAGGTAAATATTTTTTATATTAAACTACTTATTGATATTTAATGATATACTTTATACTTTACTTTATTAATATAATATAATTTATAGATTACCAGGTTGGAATATGCATTCAGTAGGTTATCATTCAACAAATGGTAAAAAATTTGAAGATTCAACTGGTGGAAATGATTATGGTCCTAAATGGGGTGAACCAGATGATACTATAGGATGTGGGTGAGTATGCATTATAATGAAATATATATATATATATATATATATGTACAGTCAGTACAGTAAAATAATTACATATAATTAACATTTATTCTAATATTCCTCACCTTGCATTCCTCTTCTCATATTCCACGCCCCATATCCCTTTCCTCACTTTCACATTCTTCGCCTTTAACATTCTTCTTCGCCTCACATTCCTCGCGTTATAGATACAATCCAGATGCAGGATATGTATTTTATACTAAAAATGGACAGTTTTTAGGCAATGCATATACTGGAAAAAGTCATATATGGTTTCCTACGATTGGGGCAACCGGTCAATGTACCATTCAAACTAATTTTGGTGATGATACTGAAAATGATTTCAGGTATAAATATGATGAATAATTAATTGATGAATAATGATTAATTGATGAATAATTTAATAATTAAATCAATTATTTAATAATAACTAGATACAAAAGTGCAATAGGATATGGACCAGGTGGACCATTACTTATAAGAAGAACCGAATCAGGAACATCAACTGGTAGACGATCAAGAATTAGTAGAAGCAGTAGTATGAAAAGTATACATAGTATTAATAATAATGAATGAAATGAATAATACAATGTAAAATGTGTAATTAATGATGAAATTTTGTAAATTAATTATATATGTGTATATATATATTTTATATATATATTATTGACATATATATATATTTTATAGATAAACTAAAAATAAATTATTATCATCGATGAAATAATATAATATATCGTCGATGAAATAACATAATATAATATAATATACTAATTATCAATAATTATAATAATTACATATTAATTATACCATAATTACCATAATTACCATAATTATCAATAATTATAATATATTAAAAAAAAAATTTCGTTAAATAATTCTTTTTTTACCGTATCATCATTAATTTTTATTTTTGTTTTTGTAAAAAATTAATTATAAATAAATATAATAATTATGTCCAATAATATAATTAAATTTGAAGAAGATAATAAAGAATTGATTTATATCAAAGTATTTTATTTTAATTTATTTATTTAATTTTAATTTATTTATTTTATTTTTATTTATTTCATTTTATTATATTTTATTCAACAATGGAAAATAATTGGGAAACACAACAAAAATAATAAACATTTTATTTATTTATTTATTTATTATAAGGATGAAGATGAAGATGAAATCATGGTATTATCTACTCCTCCACCACAAACAAATAATAAATCATTTCAAAGAATTCATCGTCGTCATCACCATCAAACAAATCACAACACTCAGAACAGCAACAACAATAACAACAACAACACAACAGCAACAACAAATAATAGATGGTCAAATGAAGAAGATCATAAATTATTAAATATAATTCAAAGTCATATCAGGTGGTCCGAAGTAGCAAGAGAATTCGGGGGAATTAGAAATGCCAATTCGTGTAAAAGGCGTTGGCGTAATTATGTTAGTTTGATTTTAAGAAGGGATGCTTTAAGGAATTAATTAATTCTTATAATTTATTATTATTATTTTTAATGTAATGTAATATTATTATTTTAATGTAATATTATTTATTTGATTTAATATAATATTACAAATATTATTATTATTAATAGTAATTAATATGAATATTTAATAATATGAATATTTAATATTAATTAATTACATTTATGCTGTGTCTGTGTCTTATTACATTTTATGTATTACATTCTGTTACATCACCTGTATCTATTGCATCGATTGCATCACCAGTATCTTTTGCATCGGATTACATTAACTTTTTTTAAAATTGATTGATTACATTACATTAAAAAAAAAAAATCATCAATAATCACAAATGATCACAATGATCAGAATGATCAAGTCAGCAGATATAAATATTACCAGTTTAAGTAATTCTGAATTTTCAGCCCTGAGTAACAGAAAAAAAAAATAATAATAGACAACCGGATGTGATCTTTTACTCTTTTTTCTTTCTGATATTAGTTCAGGTTAGTATCGATTGTTATCGATAATGAATTATCAATTATTAATAATTATATATGAGAAGTGTATGTACAACATTTTTTAACTCAGCCTTTATCAATAATATTTCAATTGTATTTAATTTTTCTTCTTTTGAAAGTAGTTTGAAAGTAGTTAGTGTTATACATATACACAAAATCTACAAAATCTAAATAAAAATCTAAATAAAATCTACATAAATCATTCAAATCACACAAATCACTTTTTTTTTTCTTCCAAAAATATTATTCTAAATTATTCTCTTTTATTCTCTTTTATTTATATATATAAACCTCCGCTCGTGCTCTCTTTTTTTTTTACTAACAACACTTTATACAACATATACGTACTATTACACACGTTACCACTCCACCCGCATTATTTACATTATTTTACCAGTTTTTTCATTTTTCATCTATATATAATAGATATATTATATATATATATCTCTGATATTATAGATATATCTGTTCTGGTTATAGAAATTATTTTTTATATAAAAAAAAATCTCAAATAGCATCCATCCACACTTTTTTAGGTGACACCGTGGTAACACTATGGTAACCTACAATTGTTATCCATATCCGTTCAAATCGACAGTGAAAAAATAATAATGGGTCGTGTGAGGAGAGACAGTTTAGCAGCAACTTTAGAAGAGGAAATAATTGACGAAGAAGTGGTTTCATTAAACATAGGTTCTTCGTTGTCCAAATTTCAACAGCAACAACAACAACTACTACTTACTGGTTTTTCTTCTTCTTCTTCCTCCTCTTCTTCTTCTTCTACTACCACCACCACCACTATTTCTACAAATACTTCGTCGTCATTAGCGAGTAATCATAATCACAATAATAATAGTTATAATAATAGTAATAATAATAACAATAATAATTACAATAACAACCATAATAATAACAATGCTAGCGTTTGTACGAAGTGTAAAAGAGAAGAGAGTACGTTTTTTTTTTTTTCTGATTTTTTCATTCTTTGATTTCTTCTTCCTAAATATCCTAACTATTATTAAGTAATACAATTATTTGAGTAATACTGTTATTGAGTAATTCAGTACAATTATTATTGTTTAATGATATTGTCTTTTTTTTTTTTAAAAAAAAAAAAATTTACTTAGGTGTCGATGGTCGTTGGATACAGTGTGATAGGTGTTTAAAATGGTATCACACGGCGTGTGTAAAAATTCAGTTGGACGATAATGGTGAATTCTCGGGTGATTATTATTGTAGAGAATGTAGACGTTCAACAAAACATGAACATTCTCCGACGTATGTTTAAAAAAAATTTAAATTTATTAAAAATAAATAAATAATTAATTAATTAATTAAAATTTAAAATTAATTAACTAGATATATTATTATATTTTAATTAAAATTTTAAATATATTAAATTAAATTTTAATATATTATTTAATTTCTATTTTTTTTTTAGTGATAGAGAATGTAAGCAAGTTAGAAGGCTTTCGATTTCTTCTGCTGGATCTTCACGTAGTAGTGGAAGTTCTTATAAAAAATTAAAGAATTCCGATGGATCATCATCATTACGCATGCCATCACCCCACCATCTTGATCATCTCTCTGAACAACCTATTGTTTCTTTATCCGTAATCAACGATAACAATAACAACAGCAACGGCAACGATAATAATAAAAATAATAAAAATAATAAAAATAATAATAATAATAATAATAACGGTGATACACCCATGGAAATTGAAGAAACTCTTAATCGATACGATAATAATAATAATAATTATAGTTATAATTATAATAATAATTATAATAATAATTATAACAATAATTATAACAATAATTATTATAATAATAATTATTATGGTATATTATCTTTTACTACTATTCATAATCATTATATAATTTATTATTTATTAAAAATATTATTTATTCTATTTATTTTATTTATCCTTTTTATTTTCAATTTTATAGACTCATCATCACCGCCACCACTGAGAAAACAAACGTGCAAATCCCAAAAAAATGGATCATTACCTCGATCACCTCAAAAGTTTAACAACAACAATCATAATCATTATATCAATTATACTAACGGAAATGGACAGAATAATCAAAATGGTCAAAATGGTTTAAATGGAAATGGTCAAAGTGGAAGTGGTCGTAAGGATAGAAAGACTAATAATTCTAATAATTCTTCGTCGTTGTCGTCATCATCTAATGCTAACAAGAATAATATTATGGATACAACTGAAACACCAATACCAATGTTTCATTCATATAACTGGCCTCATCCAGTTTCTTATAATCGTGCACTTCATCGAGTAGCTCAAATACGTGAGTTTATTTTAACTCACTGTCCAGCTGCTACAACGACTTTACCTTCACCAACTCCACCTTTACCAACTCCACCCTTACCAACTTTACCTTCTACAACACCACCTTCTACAGTAACTCCACCTTCAACTTCATTAACTTCAACTTCAATTTCAACTTCTTCAGCTACATCTTGTGGTGATACTAGTATAAAAGTACCAGAAAATAATAACGATATTAATAACAATAAAAATAACAACAATAATAACAACAATGATAATAATATCGTCGATCCTTCATCTCAACAACAACAACTACAATCAATCAAAATTGCTAAAGAATTATGGAAGAAATTAGAAAAATTGGAAAAATCATATAAAAAACAAATTTATCATCCCACTCATTCTACTACTTCGTCGTCTTCGGTGGCGACGAATCATATTCATTTTCATAATACATAATAAAAAAAAAATTTTACATAATAAAATTATCCATTATCCATCCACAACAAAAAATATCCATCCACAACAAAAAAAAAATTAATTCATATCAATTCACAACAAAAAATATCAATTCACATTAAAAATTTAAAATTACCATAATCACAATCATCATATCATCATCTTCATAATTTCTTTTAAAAAAAAAATAAAAGTTCTTGAGTGAAATGGACATTCTTTATCTTTATCTTTATCTTTCTTTTTCTTTTTCTTTCTTTTCTTTCTTGCTTTTTTTTTTTCTTTTCTTTTCTTTTTGGTTCATTTTCAGGTTTCATTTTAAGGGAGGGTGTGATGGAAATTTTATGCACAAATAATTATGATCCTTTTTATTTTTTCTTTTTATACTTGAAATCATCAAAAATTCCGAAATCAAAATGCTATTAAAAATTTGACATCGACAATATATATAATAATGTCAAGGTATAGTGTATCATACTTTCCTTTATCACATATCATATAAGGTTATAATAACAAATAGTTATATATTAAAAAATGTGATATTTATATGTATATAGTTATATAGTAATTCATGCCTTACCTTTTTACCTCGTCTATTTTGTTTGTCTCGTTGCTTGTCTTATTGCTTACTTGCCGTGACTTGTCTTGTCTTGTCTTGTCTTGTCTTGTCTTGTCTTGTCTTATTCCGTTTCTTATCTTTTTTATCCTTACATTGCTTTATCATTAACTTCCTTTTTTCTTTTTTTTTTTCTGTAAATATTTATTTTCTTTTTTTTTTCGTTTTATTTGAAATGTTTTTTTCTGATTGTTATTTTTTTCTCTCTATTTGGATTTTTATTAGTGAAATGATAATATATATATATATGTATGTATGTATATATTTAATAGAAATAAAAGAATAAAAATAAAAATAAAAATAATAAAAATTTAATGTGTAAAAGTATTTTTTTTTGTGCCGTGTTATTATTGTGTATTATTAAAATAAATCATATGATTTTATTTGATTTTATAAAGGATTCTCAAAAGGGAAATTTTCAAATTGTTCTCAACGTTCGGAAATATTTTCACGTGAAAATATTTAGATACGAAAAATATATGAATTATTTCCTATTTCAAACATTTCAAACAATACAACAATAAATAAATAAAAAATATAGTTAAATGAAAAACAATATATAAATAAAAATCGGAAATAATAATTAAGGTTTTACAGACAGATTTTTGCAGATTTTACGGAAAAAATATATACTGTATATATTTATATATGCATTTACACATATTACATATCTGAAATACAATGCACAATTTTATGATTTTTTTACTTAGATCAAAAAAAAAAATTTGGTTGATGGTTGATACAATGCAACAATATTAAGATTTTACTTAAATCCTATCGAAATATTTTGAAATACAATCTAATAAATAATAATAATAATACTAAAATTCTAATTGGATCAAAACATTTCTTGATGATTTTTCTTTAACTCTTTTATTTGTCTTTCTTGTTTTCTTCTCTTGTCCGTTTTCTCAAAAAAAAAAAATTTTAATTCAATGCAACAATATTAAAATTTTATTATAATAATACTGAAATTCCATTTAGATTATTTCTCGATTTCTCAGTTTTTTTTTTTTTATTCTTCATATTTCTCTCTTGTTCTCTTGTTTTCTTTCAATTTCTCAAAAAAAAAAAGTTAATATAATACAAAAATATTAAGATTTTATACAATAATAATACTAAAATTCTAATTTGGATTATTTCTCGATTTCTTCGGTTTCTTATTCTTTATATTTCAGTCTGCATCATTTTTAACAATATTAACAATATTAACATAATAATATTGGATTTTTATTCTTTTAGATTATGTGATAAAAATAATAATTTTAAATTTGGTTCGTCTGATTACTACAGAATCAATTTAAAAGCATTATTTTTATTATTGATATAAAGTTAATAAGAAAGTGTTATTTTTAAAATATAAAAGAAGTCATAATACGATGTAAAAAACAATCTTTGACTAATTTTCCTGAATAATAATAATAATAATAATAATAATTGTTAAATACTGTATTAATATGCCCCCAACTTCTTAAAACAAAAACATAAAAATAAAAAAATAAAGAAAAGAAAGAAAGTTATATAAAAAGAAAGCCAATTACAGTAGAAAGCATACTGCATATAAGCATAACCTGCCTAAGTGCATAAAATTTATATGGCTCGAGTTGGGCCATATAAGCTATAAGCATACGCATAACGTGTATATGCATAAAAAAATTCTAGATTATATAGTCATATATAAGCATAATCACATGTATCAGAATATGTAAAATTTATCATCATTTTATTATTACTTTATCCATTGTCATTTATCTTTTTATTAATTATAAATTTATTCATTTTTCAGTTCATCTATTTTTCTGTTTTTCTATTTGTCCATTCTTCCATTCATTTATTTGTTCTTTCATTAAGTAATTCACTATTTATCTATTCTTCATGTAAAAATATTATTTTTATTTTATTAATAAAAAAAAATACAACTTTCCTGTTATAAAATTTTTTGTGACATCATTGACTTACCTATGCATAACCTGTCTATATATACAAGTTCTAATGTAGTAAAGAAGTTTAATTATGGATCAAAAGAATCCTGGGATCTTTTCTGAATTCGATCGATTAGGAAGGTTACGTCAAGTGCTTCATGAAATTAATGAGATGACAGATAAAGCATTGCGACCTATGAAAGAGGGAATTCTCAAATCTTTTTTAAAAAATACCAAAGATTATTTAACCTCTTTTCAATATTTTTTAAATGCAAGTTTATATTCATTGCCTTCACTCCCCCTTTTTACAAAATTCCAAATATAAAGAACAACAAGACATGTTTGGTTGCAGTCAGGTAACTGATTATTTAAATACCATTATGATAACTATTGCTAGTTTAATGCAAGAGAAAGAAGAAAAAGAAAAGATTGGATTCCAGTATTTAAAGAATTTTTTTATCAAGCACTAATAACTACTTCCAAAGCTAAAACCATTAGGCACCAATTATATTTTCGTTATGATGCGAGCTAGAGATATATGGGGTCTAATCCTAGAAATTAACTTTATCTATCAGTAATATTTAACAACACGTAAAGCAAATAAACATAATTAATAGAAAAAGAATATTCTCGAATTCTTGAAAATTCATATTAATAATAATTCGCACAAGTAACACTATAAATCACTATAACCATTCCTAATAACTATAACTAGTAATTCCCTAATTTTTATTCGATGAGGAATTTTCATTATTTAATTGGGTGTATTTTATAATCCTTTACATAATTGAAATAAACTAATTCTACATAAATTAATTGGACGATAACTTTTATAATTATATTTTGCTGTCATGTAATTGATACTATACTTCACTCCTTCACTCTTCAAAATTTAATCATGTCATGTCTAAATATTGATTACCAATATGCCTTCCATCCACCTATCTCCACTTATTGAGGAATATTATTTAAAAAATTCCAAAAAGTAAAAATGCATTACTGAAAATCATTGAACTGAAGTTTGATACCTTTAATTTAAAATTAAAGTATGAAGGTTAATATAAAAAGAAATAATAATAAAAAAATAAATAAAATAAATTTAAAATAATAAATATTAATAATTGAATAAATAAGCAAATAAATAATAAAATAACTATAAATAAATAAAATTAATAAAATTAAATAAAAATAAATAAAAACACTCATAGAAAGCTGCTCCGGCTCAAATAAATTCTCAGCTGCTTTCTCATATTTACGTTTTTTAATAATTGTTCACCATGAAGCAATAAATTTAAAGGAGTTTCTAATAAGAATTAACATATTGTTGAAGATATTCAATAAATTCTGAAACAATTAATAATTTACCAATAAAAGATTTGAAATTTTATGAATAAACTATATCTTAAATCCAGTATTTCAGGAATATCTTTAGAATTAGTAATTCTTTCACCGTTATTGATCTATCTTGCCATAGTCGATTGTTTTTGTTTAAGTTTAATTATTGATTCGGAATATGCAGATTGTTAGGTACTCATTTAAGAATTATATGTTCGCAAAAAATTGACATACTCATTGATACCCTTTGATTTCCTCAATTAATTTCCGCAATTTGGTTTCGATAAAAATAAGATGAGCTATTGCATAATGTAATTGAATAACATCAGTTTAATTCTTTCCCCAATAGTTATAATATTCCCAATATTTCCAATATTTTCTATATTATTATCACTACCACTACTACTTATATTATTATTGCTGCTGTGTTGCTGTTTCCATCCCTTTCGAATAAAACATCATTAAATATGGATAAAACTATATATAACTAATTCTAATTATCATGTTTTGTTTTTTCTTAAAAAAAAAAAAAACTAAACTTATATCTTATTTATCTAAATTCGAACCCCCAAAGTATTACTAAAATATTATTAAAAATCCAAGCTAATAAAAAAACTTTAATAAATTATTTAATAAATTGTACAAGAAATTGTATAATGGACATCAGGAAATTTTATAAGGCAAATTTTCATCACCCGCGCAATTTTGCACAAGTTTTTTTGTGCGGGCTTTTTCTATTGTTTCGCAAGTTGCGAGGCGCAGTACTATTTCTAAATGACATGTGCACAAATGTTTTCTTTAAACTGGATTAAACTGGACGATCTCCGCGAATATCGATGTCACAAGGATGAAACGCATGCCATTTTGTAGCTAAGAGCAAGG